CACACACACACCTCACTCTTCGTACAGCACAGCACAGCACAGCACATCACAGCACAGCACAGCTCAGCTCAGCTCAGCTCAGCACAGCACAAGCACAGCACAGCACAGCACTGCTCAGCATAGCTCAGCACAGTTCAGCTCAGCTCAGCTCAGCTCAGCACAGCTCAGCTCAGCTCAGCACAGCACAAGCACAGCACAGCACAGCACTGCTCAGCATAGCTCCGCACAGCTCAGCTCAGCTCAGCACAGCACAGCACAGCTCAGCACAGCACAGCACAGCACAGTACAGCACAGCACAGCACAGCACTGCTCAGCACAGCTCAGCACAGCTCAGCTCAGCACAGCACAGCTCAGCTCAGCTCAGTTCAGTTCAGCACAGCACAGCACAGCACAGCACAGCACAGCTCAGCTTGGCACAGCACAGCACAGCTCAGCACAGCAGAGCACGCAGGGCTAGCGCGCAGGGCACACTTTCTCGACACCGTAGGGGGTGCGCAGGGGGTGGTCCCCTATCCGCGCCGGTCGTCCAGGGCATAGCAGGCGAGGCACTTTCTCGACAGCATAGGGGGTGCGCACGGGGTGGTCCCCCTATCCGCGCCGGTCGTCCAGGCCGTAGCAGGCGTGGCACTTTCTCGACACCATAGGGGGTGCGCAGGGGTGGTCCTAGGGGGTGCGCAGGGGGTGGTCCCCCTATCCGCGCCGGTCGTCCAGGCCGTAGCAGGCGTGGCAGTTTCTCGACGCCATAGTGGGTGCGCACGGGGTGGTCCCCCTATCCGCGCCGGTCGTCCAGGCCGTAGCAGGCGTGGCAGCTTCTCGATACCATAGGGTGTGCAGGGGGTGGTCCCCCGATCCGCGCCGGTCGTCCAGGCCGCAGCAGGCGTGGCAGTTTCTCGATACCATAGGGGGTGCGCACGGGGTGGTCCCCCTATCCGCGCCGGTCGTCCAGGCCGTAGCAGGCGTGGCAGTTTCTCGACACCATAGGGGGTGCGCAGGGGGTGGTCCCCCTATCCGCGCCGGTCGTCCAGGCCGTAGCAGGCGTGGCACTTTCTCGACACCATAGGGGGTGCGCAGGGGGTGGTCCCCCTATCCGCGCCGGTCGTCCAGGCCCTAGCAGGCGTGGCAGTTTCTCGACGCCATAGTGGGTGCGCAGGGGGTGGTCCCCCTATCCGCGCCGGTCGTCCAGGCCGTAGCAGGCGTGGCAGTTTCTCGACGCCATAGTGGGTGCGCAGGGGGTGGTCCCCCTATCCGCGCCGGTCGTCCAGGCCGTAGCAGGCGTGGCAGTTTCTCGACACCATAGGGGGTGCGCACGGGGTGGTCCCCCTATCCGCGCCGGTCGTCCAGGCCGTAGCAGGCGTGGCACTTTCTCGACACCATAGGGGGTGCGCAGGGGGTGGTCCCCCTATCTGCGCCGGTCGTCCAGGCCGTAGCAGGCGTGGCACTTTTCGACACCATACGGGGTGCGCACGGGGTGGTCCCCCTATCCGCGCCGGTCGTCCAGGCCGTAGCAGGCGTGGCAGTCTCTCGATACCATAGGGGGTGCGCACGGGGTGGTCCCCCTATCCGCGCCGGTCGTCCAGGGCAGAGCAGGCGTGGCACTTTCTCGACACTTAGGGGGTGCGCAGGGGGTGGTCCCTGAGCGCGGCCGCTATCCGAGACGGTCGTCCAGGGCATAGCAGGCGTGGCACTTTCTCGACACCATAGGGGGTGCGCAGGGGGTGGTCCCTGAGCGCGGCCGCTATCCGAGACGGTCGTCCAGGGCAGGGCATAGTAGGCGTGGCACTTTCTCGATTCCATAGGGGGTGCGCAGGGGGTGGTCCCTGAGCGCGGCCGCTATCCGAGACGGTCGTCCAGGGCATAGTAGGCGTGGCAATTTCTCGATTCCATAGGGGGTGCGCAGGGGGTGGTCCCCGAGCGCGGCCGCTATTCGAGACGGTCGTCCAAGGCATAGCAGGTGTGGCACTTTCTCGACACCACAGGGGGTGCGCAGGGGTTGGTCCCTCACCGCGGCCGCTATGCACGACGGTCGTCCAGGGCATAGCAGGCGTGGCACTTTCTGGACAAAATAGGGGGTGCGCAGGGGGTGGCAACGGCCACCAACATCATTCTTACATGATTCACTTCAGCTATCATCACTCCAGCCATAATATAAGTATGTGGGGTTCCTCGGCAGCGTAATTTATGATCATTACATTGTTATCATAGTAGTATTAAAACTACGAGTGCCTGGGTGCCCGGGTGCCCGGGTGCCCGCGGAAGCCCGGGTGCCAAGGTGCACCGGTGCCCAGGTGCCCGGGTGCCCAGGTGCAAGGGTGCCCAGGGTGCCTGGGTGCACCGGTGCCCAGGTGCCCTGGTGCCCGGGTGCCCTGGTGCCGTATAGCCCTGTAGCTCTATAGCCTTATAGCCTTATAGCACTATAGCCCCATAGCCTTATAGCCCTATAGCCCTATAGCCTTATAGCCTTATGCCCCCTAGCCTCATAGCCCTATAGCCTTAAAAAGATGATGATTGGGGCTTTCCTCCGGCATCATCGTATTAGTATCGTTCGCAGTCTTAGTATCATTATTCATCTTAGATGTATTCCTATTCGTCTTATTCGTCGCATCCGGAATTATCATCATTGTGATTCGCATTGCTATTGCTGTCTTATCATCACAATCAGTGTCAGTCTTCGTCGCCATCGAAATATCAGCAGTTGTCACAGTAGTAGGTAGAAGTAGTAGTAGTAGAAGTAGTAGTAGTAGTATAATGGTTTGCATTCGTGTTCGTACCTGTCGTCTTCGTTTGAGTGTTCTTCTTAATATGAGTACGATTCGCATTGTTGTGATGATTACGAGGTTGCTGCGTATTCGTCTTTTCAGTATTCGTATCAGTATTAGTTGCATTAACATTCGTATTATATGTATGCTCCTCCATGTTATACTTAACCTTCTCCACTGTAGACTTAGTAGTAGAAGTACACGTGTTGGTGTTACTAGTAGTGGTATCAGTATCACGATTACTATTAGTAGTGCTGCCAGTATCAGTACCACTGTCCGTATTACAAGTAGTAGTGGTAAGATTATATTCGTATAGTATTGTTGCTAATACTACCACTATGCATATTAGAAGTTGTAGTATGACTCCTCCCCCTCCTCCTGCTTCTCCTCCTCCTCCTCCTCTTCCTCCTCCTCCTCTTCCTCACCCATCTCCTCCCTCCCTCCCTTCCTACCTCCCTCCTTCCCTCCCTCCTCCTCCTCCTCCTCCTCCTTCTCCTCCTCCTCCTCCTCCTCCTCCTCCGCCACGTCCACCTCCACCTCCACCGCCACCTCCACCTCCACCTCTACCTCCACCTCCACCTCTACCTCCACCTCCACCTCCACCTCCACCTCAGCCTCCACCTGCTCCTCCTCCTCCTCGTCCTCCTCCTCCTCCTCCTCCTCGTCCTCCTCCTCGTCCTCCTTTTCCATCTTCTCCTCCTCCTCCTGTTCCTTCTTCACCTCCTTCTCCTCCTCCTCCTCCTCCTCCTGCTCCTCCTCCTCCTCGGGCCCCTCATCCTTCAGGGGCTTGCCGTCGGGGCCGAGCTTCATCGACTTAGGCGGGGCGAACTTCACGTGGTAGGAGCGCCCACTCTTCTTGTCCTCGCCGCAGGGTGTCGGGGTGCTCGTGTTGGGGTGGCCCCGAGAGGGCATCTTCGTCGCCGCGGCTGAGGGTCAATGTAAACATACCTCCCGAGATTGGTACACGTACCAAATACAAATAACCATATGGAATCATACCTCCTATGTATGTATATGAGTGTCGTACTGAATTATACATACATACATACATACATGCATGCATGCATGCATACATGCGTGCGTGCGTGCGTGCGTGCGTGCGTGCGTGCGTGCGTGCGCGCGTGCGTGCGTGCGCGCGTGCCTGTCTGCCTGCCTGCCTGCCTGCCTGCATGCAGGCATACATACATACATGCATGCATACATACATACATACATACATACATACATACATACACACATACATGCACGCATGCATGCATGCATGCATGCATGCATGCAGACAGACAGGCAGACAGACAGACGGAAATATAGACATGCATACATACATACATACAATGCATGCATGCATGCATGCAGAAATACACACATACATACATTCATACATACATACATACATACATACATACATACACACACACATACATACATACATACATACATACATACATACATACATACATACATACATACAGACAGACAGACAGACAGACAGACAGACAGACAGACAGACAGACAGACAGACAGACATACATACACTACATATAGTACATATATTACATGCCTGACATACATACGTACATACATACATACATACATACACACATACATACATACATACATACATACATACATACATACATACATACATACATACATACATACACACATACATACATTACATTACAGTACATCACATTACACTACATTACATTACATTACATTGCGATACAATACGTACATACATACATACATACATACATACATACATACATACATGCATGCATGCATGCATACATATATACATACATATACATACATACACATACATACATACACATACATATATACATACATATACATACATACATACATACATACATACATACATGCATGCATACATACATACATATATACCATACATACCATACATACCATACATACCATACATACCATACATACATACATACATACATACAGACAGACAGACATACATACATACATACATACGTACATATATACCCATGCATGCATACATGCATACATACATACATGAATGCATACATGCATGCATATATACATACATACATGCATACATAAATACATACATACATACATACATACATACATACATACATACATGGATGCATGCATGCATGCATGCATACATACATACATACACTATGTACACATACATGCATACATGCATACATACATACATGCATACATACGTGCATGCATGCATGCATGCATGCATGCATGCATGCAGACAGACAGACAGACAGACAGACAGACAGACATATGCGCTGCAGAACAGAAGTGTAGCTGGTGCTCGAGATCTTCGGGTTGTAGCCCTCACCGAGGGTCTTGAAACTGATCAGAGTGCTGACCAAATCAGCTCAACACCTCCCCTGCACTTACTTGGTAGGAGTGCGAACAAATCTGGGGAAGGGGAGGGGAGGGGGAGGAGAGCGGAACGACGTAGAGAGCCAGAAAAATAGAAAATGCACCTCCTTTGGAGGCGGCTGGGGATTCTGCGCTGGTTGGGCCCCGAGAAATACGGTCCACGAAACCCCTACCAGGGTGCATCTGTTGCAGTTTTTCACCCCAGATCCATTTTTGACGGTCTTGTATCCAGAGGCCGATATAGGCTCAAAAGCCGTTTCGAACCCAGAATTTGAAACCCCGTCCCCCCTTCCTGCTCGCCAGAACCGATGCCAGGCAACATCAGACCCCAAGCAGGCTCCAACCTCTTCCTCCCTCCCATAGATCCGACGTAGCGTAAAAATCTAAACACAGTGGAAAAAACACGACCGGAGTCGAGGACCCCATCTTTCTGCGCCACTTTTCGAGCCGGATCGATCTGTGAGCGTCCCGGGCCCCGAAAATTGGCGAGCTCGGATCGACATGATTGGGACGCCAGGACCCCAGACATCCGGCTGCTCCAATTTTTTCGATGCCTGGGCCCCAGGTCTGGACCACTTGTCCAGGGCCAGTTCTCTGTCTTGAGTCGCTTTCTGACGATTCCGAGGCCCGGCGAAAGCCCCCAGAGGCCGAGATCGGCCAAAAACCGCCGCCCCCCTTTTTCCCAACCATCATGTGGTGTTGGGTCCTCGTTTTGAAGAGACGGTCCCCGTGTTCCTCCTTCTTTCCTTCCTTCCTCCTTCCCCTCCTCGTCCCTCCTCCATCATCATCGTCATCACCCGCTTCAGCACACACCTCACACGTTTCGTGGCCACATAGGGAGCTCCACCGAAGACCCAGGCGCTACCGCCCGCATGCGTCACCCCCACCAAGTACAGCGCTGAGTGGCCCCATAGGAAGCTCCACCGAAGGCCCCAGCGGCACCGCCCGCATGCGTCACCCCCACCCACTACAGCGCGTCGTGGCTCCATAGGGAGCTCCACCGAAGGCCCCAGCGGCACCGCCTGCATGCGACTTCCCACACCCAGTACAACGCTTCGTGGCCCCATAGTGAGCCCAGTGGCAAAGTTCGCATGCGTTCCCCCGACCCAACGCGGGTCTTCGTGGCCTCATGGGGAGCTCCACCGAAGGCCCCACTGGCACCGCCCGCATGCGTCACCCCCACCCCGTACAGCGAGTCGTGGCCTCATAGGGAGCTCCACCGAAGGCCCCAGTGGCACCGCCCGCATGCGTCTACCCCCACCCAGTACAGCGCTTCGTTGTCCCATAGGGAGCTCCACCGAAGGCCCCAGCGGCACCGCCCGCATGCGTCCCCCCCACCCGGTGCGGCGCTTCGTGGCCCCATCGGAAGCTCCACCGAAGGCCAGTGGCACCGCCCGCATGCGTCACCCCCATCCAGTGCAGCGCTTCGTGGCCCCATAGGGAGCTCAACCGAAGGCCACAGTGGATGCACTCGCATGCGGGTCCCCCACCCGGTGCAGCGCTTCGTGGCCCCAAAGGGAGCCCAGTGGCAAAGTCGCATGCGTTTCCCCGACCCAACACGGGTCTTCGTGGCCTGATGGGGAGCTCCACCGAAGGCCCCAGTGGTTGTACTCGCAGGTGTCACGCCCACCCACTACAGCGCTTCGTGGCCCCATAGGGAGCTCCATCGAAGGCCCAGTGGCACCGCCCGCATGCGTCACCCCCCAGCCAGTACAGCGCTTCGTGGCCCCATAGGGAGCTTCACCGAAGGCCCAAGTGGCACCCCCCGCATGCGTCACCCCCCATCCAGTACAGCTTTTCGTGGCCCCGAAGAGAGCTCCACCGAAGGCCACAGTGGATGCACTCGCATGCGGTTCCCCCACCCGGTGCGGCGCTTCGTGGCCCCATCGGAAGCTCCACCGAAGGCCCCAGTGGCAAAGTTCGCATGCGTTCCCCCGACCCAGCACGGCGCTTCGTGGCCTCATGAGGAGCATGGGGAACTCCACCGAAGGCCACAGTGGCTGTACTCGCATGCGTGTCCCACACCGATTACACTGCTTCGTTGTCCCATAGGGAGCTCCGCCGAAGGCCCCAGTGGCGGCCCCGCCCAACTGCGGCGCACCCCTCACACTTTTCGCGGCCCCGTAATGCGTTCCGCCTAAAGCATCAGTGGCAGCGCCCACATGGCAGCCCCGCCCACATCGGCACACCCTTCGCATGCTTCATGGCCCCATGAGGAGATCCCCCGAAGGCGATACCCTCAACGACAGTAGTCACAACTGCATATGGTCGGGTCCTTCGCCAGGATAACCTTGTTGGAGCGTCGGATCTCTGGGTCCTTCCTCCTGGGGAGGAGGAGGAGGAGGAGGAGGAGGAGGAGGAAGAAGAGGAGGAGGAGGAGGAGGAGGGCGGAGGAGGAGGAGGAGGAGGAGGAGGAGGGAGAGAAGGAGGAGGAGGAGGAGGAGAGGAGGAGGAGGAGGAGGGCGGAGGCGGAGGAGGAGGAGGAGGAGGGAGAGGAGGAGGGAGGAGGAGGGAGAGAAGGAGGAGGAGGAGGGAGAGAAGGAGGAGGAGGATGGAAGAGCAGGAAGAGCAGCAGGAGGAACCCCTCCCCCAACCCGCCCGACCTTTTCCGGGGCCCGGCGATCTTCGCCTGCGGACCCTCCGCTGCCACGGGCCCGCTTCCCGAGGGCCCCAGCGCGATCCCACAGCCACTGCACCAGGCGTACGCTTCGGTGACAACTCGTCGGAACCTCCCACACCCTCATACTTGCTCCTGCGAGTCGACGCTAGTCGACGCTAGTCGTCGCTCGATCGACGCTCATCGACGCTAAATTGACTCTAGATCATCGACTACCAGACGCGAAAACGGCCGCTAGCTTGTGCACTCCGAAGACAGAATTAAGAGGGTACACAAGGCTCCCATGATTTGAAACCGATATATGCCCGTCGGCGTCATCGACCGTGCCCCGAAGGTGACGTTCTCCAGGCTCTGGTTCCAGAAGGCCTCGAAGGTGGCGCGCATGCCCTCGTCCCTCGCCTGCACACCCAGACCCCGCGCTGCGAGAAAATCACGACGGGAGGTCTTTCGCTATTTTCGGCCTCTCGGCGCCCCCCCCGGGCCCTGGGACCGTCCAAAAACGACACGGCCGAAAACCGGCCACGGGGAAGGGGTCCAGACCTCTGGGGGTCGACTTTGCAAAAAAACAAAAAAAATGTCGGATGTCTGGGGACATGGAACGCACAAGGACACACCGGTAGGATCTATATAATATATTATTATATATATATATATATATATATAAAAATGTATATATATATATATACATATATGTATATAGATAGATGTGTGTGTGTACTAGAACCATCGCGCGCGCTTCGGGCGGGCTCAGGTTCTAGCTAGGCTTGATGGACTAAATCATGGAATCTGATTGTTGTCGCTTCTTGCATCCAGGGACTCTCTTGGAGGCCCTGCGCAAGCC